CTATAACTCTCAGGAAACCATTTGGAAAGAAGGAGAAAAAAAAAAAAATCCCAGCACTGAAAGAGATCCCGCTCCATCTGGACAGCCCCTCTGGGAAGAGGGTCCTTTCCCCACCCTCCTGCAAGGCCTCCGACAAGGGATCCAGAGCAAAAAATTTGGGTTATTTCCCCCCCTCCCCTCACTGCTGCTTCTCTGGGGCGTCTCATGAAACGGGTTCAAGGAAATAAATCCCTGCCGTGCCTTTTAAGAGCAGCCGGGCTTGCCTTTGGCACCAGCACCCAGGGAGAGTTTTTCCCTCCCTGTGCGAGGGGGCACGGGAGCAGGGCAGGGGATGCAGGGAGCTCAGCAAAGCCAAGCGGACTCGGATCGAGGTCCGGGTGCTGTTAGCTCCCTGGAGGAACCAAACAGAGCAGCCAGACCTGCCCTGGTGCAGAGGGTAAAACACAGCAGAGACCCAATGCACGGAGCGGGAGAGCTTGGGGTCCTCCAGCAGCCTGGGAGGGGAACAGGGGCTTCATGCAGGAAGGAAACAAGCCAAAAATCCGGTTTTCTGCCCTGGTTTCACCCTTCTGGGGCACTAGCTCTGGCGACTGGGGCTTGCAGCAGGTGGAGACCACCAGCCCCCTTCCCCAGCCTTCGTCTCCGCAGAGGCGCCGGAGCAGGATCAGGCCTGCCGCCAAGCCCTGGGGACCACACAGCGCTTCAAGGCTGTTTCTCCAGCCCTTCTCTCCTGGCAAGGGAGGAAATTGCCTCCTTTGGGACCATTCCTCCTTCCCGGCCCGTTACCATCACATCCCTGCGGACCGGAGCCGCCAGCCTGGGGGGGACCAGGTCCCCTGGCCCTACACCCTGCTGCAACGATCAGCCCCCAAAGCGGCCTTTTTCCAGACTTTGCTCTTTCGTTTTCAGTTGTTTCCTAATTAAGGCAATTTGGGGTTACTATGTGCAGCCGAGAGCTGAAGTGCAGCTGCTTTGGATTAACGGGAAAACGTTATCTCGGGGTGGGTTTCAGGGGTGAGGGCTCCCTTCGCTGTCGGGACCGACCCGTCTCCGCGCCCCGGCGGTGGGTAATGGCAGAGAAACCGTGGCCGCTTTGCCCTTTCCTCCCCGTTTTTGCTTTCTGAAGGGCTCGGCCGGGCTGGCCTCGGGTTAGAGCCGGGCCAGGGGATTTTAACGATAAAAATAATTGAGCTGAGCCGATCCCGGAGCAAAGACAAAAACAAGTAATGACCAAAAACAAACAAACAAACAAACAAAAAAATCCAAAGCGAAGAAGAATGAAAGAAAAACCCGATGCACAAATTAGTCCGAAAAATCCGTTGGGGGTGTGTGTGTGTGTGTGTGTTTTTTCTCCCCCCGCGCCGCATTTCCGAGCGACCCGCGAGTTTCGGCGTTGGAGACAAATAAATAAATGGCCAGAAAGAAGGAAAAAGCAGGAAGGGAGCAGGATACGGGCATGTAGCTAAATAAACACAGAATCGCAAGGGGACAAAGAGGATGGGAAAAAGGAAGATACAGCTAATCTCCCCCCACACCCCAAACCGACACCCCCTAAAAGATTTTGTGGCGCTGGTGAAGTTAGCAGCTGGGAAACAGCTGTATAATTATTAGGTTAAACGGGAGGGGAGAGGAGACCTCAAAGGGATCACTATCGAAGGGACGGGGGCACGGAGCGGGCTCTCCCGCTCCCGACAACCGCCGGAGAAAACGGAGTCGCCGCAAA